TTCACCTCTTTTTCAATCCCTCCTATAGTGTTCATTCCAAAGAAGGGAGGTCCCAAGGCATAGCCCCACAACCAGCATCAATACAGACCTCAGTGCCCTTGGGAGCCTAAACGACCCAATGAGATCCCTCCTAAAGCCGTGAAAGAATATGCTGAAATCATGCAAGGTCTGCTTGGACCTACCTATTCAGCCACTGTGGAGCCAGATGAAAAATATGAAGAAGAAGAAAATGAGCAAAGCAGGAAGAGTTTGGGATATACTCAGACCCAGGACTCCTGAGCTACATTGACAAACTGTGTTCACAGGAAGTATTTATTACCAAGGTGGGCTGGGACTTGAGGTTTGGTGTCTGTGGTTCTGTAGGTTTGGAATTCTAGCAACCAAAAATCTGGAGTTTGGCCATAGACATTGTAATTAAGCTTGATTCCTTATTCCCTGATCAATAGGTGTCCCTTTCTCTAGTGTATGTGTGTGTGTGTCTGCCTGTGTGTAGTTTGGTGTGCTGATGTTTTAATACAACACTGGACGCAAATTGAGAGGAAGATTATTGATTGTCTTCTATCTCCTCTAAATCACTGGTTACCCCTTGTCAAGGATGTTCACACACCTCCTCCTTCCCTTATCAGGTGGAAGCAGATATTCACCTCAATTCCTAGAAATGGTACTATCACCAGAATTACAGGTAGATCCCATTTCCTTAATGCAGGAGCTGAAGAAAGAGGAAGGACTCACTCTCACCCAGGTAAACCAGAGGAGGAAGGGAGAATCATAACATGAAACCCACAGGATTTCATCTAATGCAACAGTGCCTTGGCTGGCAGGGCTTCTGGGGAAGGAAAGATCCAGGTGTGGGAGCAGATGCAGAACAAGGACGTAGGAGACAATGGAGTGGCCAAGAGGAGGAGTGGTAAGGAATCGTTGTTGGGAAAACCACACAAGAGGATGGAGAGGTAGAGCTGCAGTACTGGTTAATGAACCACACTCATGTGACTGACTTCCCTGAATCCTGTTCCAGTACCATGGTCTTCACCAGTCCCTCAGCCACGTGTTCTCACAACCTGTGCAGAATCAGTAATTATCCATTTTCCTTCCTTGCAGCTGGTAGAGAAGCAACAGCTGGAATTGAAAGGAAAAGTGTTTGTGGAGGCACCCCCAACTTATGGTGTGCCACTCATGGAGTCACTTTGCACAGAGTCTGGGACTAGTGAAGACGCAGGGAGCACAGATAACCACGGTCTCCTACTAGGGATCAGCAAGAAAATGAACACAGAAAAGTTGAATGCAGATGAGCTGCCAAAAGATGGTAGCAGAGACGATAACCTGTCTACGTCAAAAGAACTTGCTCTCTTTACATGGAGTTCAAAGTCACAGAGACTGAAGTCTGAACAATCAGCTTCTCCTCAGCAGGCTCCTAGGGGCATTTCCCCTAGATAGGGAGCCAGAGAAGCCTTAATGTTCTTAGAAACCTCTCCTATTAGTGAAACACCTGGGAAAGGAGAAGGATCCAGTGAAGAAGAGGAGGAAGAGGAGGAACTCCCCAGCCTTGCCTTCCTCTTGGCATCTCAACAAAGCCTACTGCCCTGGGGTCTTTCCAAGGGTCCTCTGCCTGCCTCCAGCATTCTGCACCATAGAGTTTGGGGCACCTGGCGAGCATCCCAGTCCCTATCTCTTGAGACCATGAGTCTTAGCCAACCTGGACATACAGCTGCCAAGTCTAAGATCCCAGCCCAAGCTAGAAACCCATCACTTGCTGCCAAGAGGCCCTACTCAGGGGCTGACCTTGGAGTCTCTGGGAGGCAACCCTTGACTGTGGGTGAGGTCCAACCCGCACTGCCTCTAAAAAGAAAGTGTGACCCTTCCACTCGTGGGAAAAGGAAGAAGTGACATTTTAGCCAGTAGCAAGTTCTCCTCTTCCATGTGTCAGACCCTCAACTTGGGGCCCCCTCAATAGATTTGCATTGTTACCCCTCCTACTCATTAGGCTACTGCTCCTCCCCTATCCCAGTGTTATTTCTTGGCTATTGTACAGATACAATGAAGACAGAGAGGGAGGACAAAGACTGGGCAGGGTGCACATGGACCTTCACGGTGGGAAATGAAGAGTAAACAGTAAAACGTTAACTTTACTCTATAGAACAATCCTATGAGAATTGGGATTAAAGACAGTTTTGTGGACGAAATTCTTGTTGCTTCTTTCTTCTTGTTCTCCTCTGCTGCTGGTTGGACTCTGGTGCTGTGAAAAGATACAGGTGTCCCCCATTTTCCAGATCCACATGTGACTGACCTCGTTCTTTCCTCTAGCTTTAACTGATG